ACTGTAGAGCGAACTTCATGGACTGTTTTCTCGGGGTATCCCTAAGTGTTATCTTTAGTTTGTTTCTCTTGGGCTGGTTGGATTCCCCAAAGTGACTTTTCTAATCTACTGCCTGAAAAGATGAGGCCAGGTGGCCAGCATTCTGAGAGCTAAGTTGTGAAAAAGGTGAGTTTATCACAATAATTAGTATATAAGCTTTAACTTACTCTCTCTGCTTTTGGCATAACATCCCTGCAGTCATTTGTGTCTAGTGCCCAGATTTCATCTGTTTAATTCTTTCCAGGCTGGGGTAGGGTTGGGGAGAGCCTCATTCTTCTGCTTATGCAGAAGAGGAATTTTACCTGGCTGAGCAGAGGCAGCAAGAAAGACTTTCAACTTTATTTTAGCCTCTCCTTCTCTACATCCAGAATATATGGTGCTGCCAATTTCTGAGCCATTTAAGGGATTCTGCAGTGTATATCAGGTGGCTTCTCAGCTTTCCCCACTGCTAGCTTGGGAAAATTGTGCTTTCTGTTTCCACTTAACTATTAGCTTTCTAGTTTCTAGATTTTATTGCTATTGCCCCCTCTTCCATTCTCTTAGTCTTTATCAGTTTATATACTTCATATTACCTTTTATTTTCATTTTAGTAGGTTTTTGGGCAGGAGTCAAAGTTAGTGGGTCCATTCAGTGTGCTATGTTTAACTGAAACTGCCATTTGAGTAAATTCTTCTTGCTAAATCCTTATTTAGTCATTTTATTCATGACCTTGATGTTTCTTATTTTTATCTCTTTTCTTAAAGTCAGCTTTAGAAACTGCTGCAAACAAATCATCTACTTGAAAGGATATAGATATATCCTGTTAACATCCTTAGTAATTTCCTAAAATTTAGCCTTTTTGAGACTTTTTACAGCATTTGTTGCAATTGGTTGCTTATGATTTTTAAGGAAAATTTATTCCATCAGAGCAAGAAGTAGGAAACTACTCAGTGAGCAAGATTCATTTCAAGTTACTGAAGTCTGTTGCTGCATTAGCAATAAAGAATTTATTGTTATGTGAATACTGTTCTATTCTAGTTAACTTCCTCATTGCCTTCAACTTGATGATCCTAATGATCTGTTTATGTTTATTCCCTTTCCATGGCTAAAGCAAAATTTTAAGAAAAAGCCACTATTCTCCTAGATTTTACAATTTGGATATAAATCATAGTAGATTCCTTTTTAGAGTCAGAAATGAATTCAAGCTATAACTTATTCTAGACCATTGCCCACAAAAGGGGGATCACTATAGCTTATATAAAAGGTGGTTTACCTGTGTTGAGAGATCTCTGGGAATAAGTGTGCAGCCTCCTCACTGGTTTGTTTCAGTATTTCTCAATGGTGTACTAATGTCTCTGGTAGGATGCTCATGTAGGTAAGGTAATGATAAAAGATGTGCCATTTTTTTCGGAAATAAACAGTTCAGGGATGGTTAAAGGAAGCAAATAGGCTACAAAGAAAATCAAGTGAACTGAAGAATTGATATTGAATAGAAGCAGATGGAGAAGGTAATAGAGGTCATATAGGACTGTGAGACTTTGTGGAAATGGAGACAGAATTGTCTTGTATTATTTTTATCATCCACTTAGTACTAATAATTGTTTTCTACAATATGCTAAAGTGAATAAAATCATAAAAGTTAGAAAAGGAATTTTTTTTCTATTTGATAAATTTTAGAGTTAGAAAATGTATGTACTCAGAGGTTAAGGTAGATTCTCTACAAGGAAGCAGTCAACAAATCTAAAGCATTATTAGGTCTAAAGCTGTGAAAGGTGTTGACTAAGCTGCACGGTCCATATTTGTATGTCTTTTGGGAGGGGAAAGATTGAAAGACAGGATGGATGTTAACCATCAAAACACTAAAGACAAATTCTTAAGCAGAAACATTTGCTAGCATTATTGGCAATCTTGAAGGCATCAGTTTGGCAGAATAACTAGCTGGTAGATTATATAGAAATTGTCCTTGCGTCAATTTACCATATTTAAAAAGCAGATTTAACAGGAAAGTTATTTTTGCCTGTTTCTCCCTATGGAATTTTTGTCTAAATTTGAAATTTATTTTGAGAAAGTATTTGGGTTTGACTTAAGTGATTAAAAAGTAGAGGACAAATGGAATATCAGTTTTTTAAAAAAACTATTTTACAAAGTTAAGTGCCCTTTTACATAGCCTCTCATGTACATTACAAAAAATTTACACAAAAGGAAATGGTAGATATTGAAAAAGAAACAATGTTCTCTTCAGTATAGTTTTAAGTACAAGTTTCTGAGGAGTTTTTAATCATTTATTTTATATGACTATTACATACCATGAAATAAAACGATGTAGCAATTATTTTGGTTTTGTTAAATAAAATATATATGTAATATAGTTTTGCCATTAAATATTTTAGATATTTATGCCAGAATTCAATGTATTTGGAGTTAGGTATTAATAATTCACAATTAATGTCTCTCATAATTTTATAGAGTTTTTTTTTTTAACAAATTTAAAAACTTTTATAGTGGAAAGTTTCAAGAAAAAAACCTCTAAGTGGAGAATGGTCGTCTCCCAATTTCAACAATTCTCACTGATGGCCAGTCTTTTTTCATCTTACAAATCTGTTTTTAAGTTAGTGTCACTTTAAAATGCTCTGTAATTAATGTACTTCAAAATAAAAAGATCTTATAAATTTAACTGGCCAGATGAAACCTTTTTTTTTCCAAAAGAAAAATAATTACTTTCTATCACATTGTCACTTTATGTGAGAAAGATTTTTTGACCATGTCCTGAGTTTTTATTTCTAAGGTAGATCTCATGAAAATACAATCATATTTTCTGCTCTTTCATCATTTATTAAAGACAAAGATTTTTTTATAGACCTAACAAGCTTAAATATGATTTAAAAAAATTCAACAACCACCACCAAGCCTATACATTTATAAGATCTTACCTTTACTTTTTTCTTTTCTCTGAGACTGGTGTGTGAGGAATCTGCTCTTTCTTCTACACCATTAAAAAAAAAAAAGTATGTCATATGACTGCATTTCACTCTGTTTTAACCTTTGTACCCAATGAACAGGTGATAAAAAAAAAAAAAACCAGACTTCCTTAGCAAAAGATTGACTAGAAGAATAATTTCTTAAAGGTATCTTTGACTTTTTTTAGTGTAACAAGTAAGGTGGTTTGCTTAACCTTTGTGTTTCTTAATTACTCTTGAAAATTTTAAATATTAACAAATTTACTTTGTGAGTTAAAGTATATAATATTGAGAGTGCATACTTTGAAAGATATATTGCTAACCTGATTTAAGTGTTAGTCCTAAAGGTATATTTAGAAACATCCAAGTTGAAAAGATAACCACCAAGTTTTGTATCCCACTGAGTTTCAACTTTTTGTTTACTTATTTTTATGACACCACCATTGGTGTTTTATTGCCAAGTTATAACAGAAGCAGACTGTTTAAAGCATCAAAAGACCCGACCCTTAGCCATTATATAGCGTTCAAAAAATCAGTGACTTTCCTTGTGCTGTAACTTCCCATCTGTAAAATGGAATACTTTACAACATTAGTTCCCATCTACCTATAGTAGCTATATCAGGCTAACATGGTTAAGATTCATTGTTGGTAAATAATCATGGAGTTCAGAATGAGTTAGTTCTAAAAGATTAACTCCTCTGGGTTTGAGTATCCTTAATCTGTGAAACAAAGAGATGGAAATAGATCGTTTTTTCTGCTTGAAATTTCTATGAGCCCATATACCCATGTACATTGTAACAGCAGCAAACATTTTTTATGCTATAGTAATTGAAGTTCAACGTGAAGACATCACTTCCTGTTCAAAAATAAACAAAATAAATGGAAATTCCAGGTTGTCTATTTCATTATGTTCATCTTTTATTTGGTTATAATGAGATGTTGTCTGTAGGAAAATTTCTGAGTTTAGATGATTTTATTCTGGTAGTAGGGTACAAGTGTGTAAAGAATGTAGGGGATATGTAGATCTATGAGGCTTAACTAGTGGTTGTGAAAACTGTAAAAGTTGATATCTATATTTGAAAGAGATTGAGTAAAATAATCATTTTGAAACTCTAAGTAGAAACTTAGGATATTGAGACTGAAAATTTATCTTCAAGCAAGCTTTTTATATGTGTCTTGAAGTATTTACATGATAAGTAGCATCTTACCTCTAATTTTTTCAGAATTTTTTTTACCCTATTGATAATTGATCTTGCATAGGTAATAAGTGGCACATCACTGGTATTTCTTGTGATTATAGGATGAAGATGGTTATTGTTTGTCGTTAATTTTACTACTACTACTTATGTGATTGTACTTTTTTGTTTGTTATAGTAGTGTTTGTTATATTTTTAATGGAATGAACTTATTATTTTGCAATGCTAAAGTATAATTGATAATTTGTGAAATACCAGTTTTAATTAAAGCAGTAGATAAAAGGGAATTTAAGCAAAACATGTTATTAATCTAAAGCTATGAATTTTTTTATTCATAGAAATAGATCTCTATTCCCCAATTCAATCAGAGCTGTCTTACTCTAGATGATTTATGTGGTAAATTTCTATACAAGATTTCATTTAGTCAAAGAATTCTATAGCTAAAAGATGCTTGAAAACCACTCTTTCAAAATTTAACTGTCTTATTTGTCTTGAGGGTATTGATAACATAGTATGAATACATCATATATATAAGGCTTTAAAGATTTTCCATGATAATCTTTGTGTTTTCTTATGAAAAAGTAAAGTGGAGAATAAGGAAATAGAAGGATTTGGGGATGGAGGAGAGAAAGATGTAAAATAAGTCTGTGTTGATGGGACCACATTTTGTTGAGGGCAAGTAGAATTTTTGTGTACATCTATAAGGACTTTCAGATCATGAACTATGGTTGAATAACTTTTAACTATCCCATTTAATTGAGACTGAGTAAAGTTAATTGATTTTTCCCCTCAATATAGTAAGAGGAATTTTGCATACTTTTGATTCCAGGAAGGAAAAACAAATCAGAAGTGTAGAAGAAGAAATTGAACAGGAAAAACAAGCAGCAGAGGGCATTATAAAAAATATGTCTCCTGAAAAACAAGTCAAGTACATAGAAATGAAAACCACAAATGAGAAATTGTTGCAGGTAACACTCAATACTACTCTGGGCCAGAAATATATCAGTCTTACTACTACAAATATGGTCTGAAGGCAACATTGGCATCTTGGGAGAGCTTTGCTAGACCTACTGATCAGAGTCTTCATTTTAACAAGGTCCCCAGATGATTCATATGGGCATTTAAATTTGGGAAGCACTGATCTAGAAAACTTCATTTGTTATGCTGTGTGATGACCTAGCTTTTACTATACTATTCATTTCTATGCATCGTTCATTTTTGCAGGTGATAAAGATACATGAAACTTTTTTTGTAATGAACTTTTAATGAAAACATTAAAAGGCCTACACATTAGAGCCATATTGATATTTACTTTTTCCTTTTCTTCCTGCCTAATAAACAGCAAGTCTTTTACTTGCTATGTCCTTAGTTTGAACAGCCATTGTTCCCTAATTATGGCGTTTAAATTAGCAATTTGGGTGCCCACTGAGGGGTTACTGAGAATCCTCCCAACATTCAGTCATGGTGGTGGCTCAGTTTTGCAGGGTGGTACCCTTTCATGCTGAGATGTCTCTTAACCAGTTAACAGAGAATTAGTCCCCACAAATGCCAATAATGAATGTAGTTCTAGTTCAGATAATCCTTCATTGACAATTTAATATAACTTTTTTATTTTAAGCAGGATTTATAAGATATAATAAAACATTGAAGAAAGAGTTTTATAGAAAGGCCAAAATACTATCAAAATATAGCTAATATTGCACAGGGGTTTTTGAATGGGTACAGTTGGCCCTTGAACACCTCATGTGTTAGGCACACCTACCCTTGTATAGTCTTTGTATGGTTTATAGTTGGCCCACAGTATCGGTGGTTCCACATCCGCGGATTCAACCAAGTACAGACCTAGTAGTATATAGTACGTATTTCATGAAGAAAATCCTCATGTCAGTGGACCCAGGCAGTTCAAACTCAACTGTAAACAGTTCAAGGGTCTTATCCCTAAGAGCGAAGCATGTAAACTGCTATAGGTCTTGGCCTTAAAAGAAATTAGGCAAAAGTTATGAAAACATGGTTAAAAAATCAAAAATAAAAATTGTAACTAAACAGTGACATCATTAATTTGAAGTCTTTTGATAGTTTGTATTCTCAGAACACAGTGATGATTTATTGTGGAAAGGTGTGGCTCCCTTTGACAAGCTCAAAGTATTTTTCACGGTAGATCATGCCAGAGTTTTTAGGAATAATTAAATAAATTGGCAAAAATAGAAATAATGAATTAATAAATTCTAGTTAAATCATAAGGTATGGGTTGAAAATGTCTACAGAATTTATTTTGTCACACCCATGTTTGAAATGTTAAACAAACAAATTATTCTTAAAGTAAATTGCGTATATATTTGCTTTTTTTCCTTCTTAGGAATTAGATACACTTCAACAACAACTAGATTCATTGAATATGAAAAAAGAGAGTTTGGAATCTGTAAGTATAAAATCAAAAGTTCTCATATTAGTCAGCTACAAAAGATAATTCAGCTAAATTTATTAATAGAACTCATTCAGGTAACATGTATATTTAGCAATTTACTAACAGGAGTGTAATAATTTTTTTTCCCATTCAGGGCCACAAATACCCTAGTTTAGAAAGAAAGTAGATTTAATTATTGAATTCCAACCCCATACAAAAGGAATCATCTGCCTTACAGAGGCTTACAAAATCTTGTGGTAATTAAAATGCATATGAACAAGAGACTAAAAACAAATGAAGAGGGAGAAGTCAGTTCATTACTTTAAAGCTGTAAAAGCTTGTATTTGTTTTATTATTTATTTACTTAAAGGGTTTTTAATTCACAAAATAAAACATGTTTGTTATAAAAAAAAATTGAATAAGATGAAAGTAAGAATGTCTCTTTTCTGTCTTTCCAGACAGAACTACTCTTACATTTATTGAATGCTTACTATGTGTGCTTTTTTGAGCTCTTTACATATGTCACTAGCATTGTCATTTTGTCTTCACAACAATCTTGTAATACTTTCTTGGTTCTACTTGTGCTAAACCTAAGATGGGATTTACACTTGATATACTGTCTGCAGCTTTTTTTTGTTTTGTTTTGTTTTAACCTAACATTCTCTATTGAATGTCTATTTCACATCACCTCTTAAAATATCTCCCTCATTATTTGAAATTACTGCATTGTATTATATTGTATAACTGTATAAAGTACAGCCTTGTAGATGACTAGGTTGTTTATAGTTTTTTGGGATTACAAAACAATGCTCTAGTGAAAAACATACATTTTATGAAGTTATTATGAGTATATCTTAAGATAAATTTCTTGCATTGGGTCAAAAGGTACATACTTCTAAAACGTTGTGACATTGCGAAATTGTCTTCCAAAAAAAATTGTTCTATTTTGTACTCCTAAACTCAATGTATGAGAGTGCCTATTTCCCCCTGTACTCATTAACAGCATGCATTATACACCTTTTCCTTTTTTGCTAGTTCAACAGTTAAAAAAACACTATCTTGTTTTAATTTTCTTTTTTTTTTATGCAAGAAGTTGAGTACCTCTCTACGTATTTGTTGGTCAGTGTATTTCTTTTCCTGCAAACGACCTTCTTATGTAGTTTATGCTTATGTTATGTAGCAACTCAGATACTGTCTGTACATGAGATCTTACCTGCCTTTCCTGATCTCCTATGTATTCAGGTAGATATCATGATGATAGAATTAGTAACAATTGTAAAATGACAAGATTGCTGTCATCTAGCTTGCAGAAGAAATAAACATAAGTATTTTGTAATCATTCTTTTGGAAATAATGCTGTTGAAAAAATAGTTTACTTAATATTAAGATGATTTTCTATATCCAATTGTCTACATGTGTATACACATAATTTTTATTTTCTTTGATCTCTGGTAATAAAAATATGATTCAAGGACTAAAGACTACATTCAGTATTAATACAACCAACTTTCAGAATTCCTTACTATCTTTTTTGGGGGTGTATAGGAGAGTGTCAGCTCTTATTTCTTTGGCAGACTTAGTTTCCACGGAAAGAGGTGTAAGGTATAACCTTGGATTTAGTATTTGTATCAATGTCACTCTTCTTTGGCATCAGTACATATATGCCTAAAATTAGATGAACTTAAAAAAAAATACAGTATTCTCAAATTAAGAAACTGTAAATTCTGTTTAACTTTACCTAGATTCCTTTGTGGGTTTGTTTTTTCTTTTTTGGTTGGAGGAAGCACTTGCTCTTAAAGAAAACATGTCAAATATCAGTCAATTAATATTTATTGAATATCTGCTTTATGCTTACTACTTTGCTGAATATTGCTTATTTAGTTCACAAGGATGTGAAAAAAATCAGGTGAAGGATCCACATGAGCTTGAGTCTTCAGGAACTGTTGTTATCAAGATGCAATTTGAATATGTTTGTAGGTGGTTAAGCAAAGGCGAAGGGGAACGTACTATGAAAAGGAATGCCTCAAAATAGCTGCATTTTTTTCTATCAGTATTTTATTATCATGCTTTTTCACCTGATGGTAATCCATTACATTAGCTGTGTATGAGGCCCTTTGCCTATGGACTTTCAAACATTTCCTCTTTGTTTACTTTCTCCTTCTCTTTTGCTTGCAACAAAGAGGAGGTCTTCCCTCTTAAAAATCTTGTTTATGCTGTGGGCCTGGTTTCAGATATCATCATTAACTTTCATTTTTGTTAACTTAGAAAAATTGTTTAGATCTTAGATCTTCCGTTTTCTCATCTGTAAAACAGAGACGATAGTACTATCTTGTAGAGTTGGTTTGAGTGATTGAGATAGTGTATAAAGAATATGGAGTACAGTGCCTGGCATAGAACAGGTGCTCAATAAATTAACAGCTTCAAATGTCATTTCCATCGTCATTGTCATCATCATCACCACCACCACAACCAACATCCATAGCTCTTTTGGTTATCTTTTAAAATTATCACATCCCTTATTTTCTCTTTGTGAACAGTCGAACAGTGGTGAATACGTGTTAACTATACTTCTAATGTCTGTTAGTTTTCTAGTGCTGCTGTAATAAAGTATCACAAACTGGGTGATATAAAACCACAGAAATTTTCTTATAGTTCTGGGAACTGAAAGTCTAAAATCAAGATGTCAGCAGAGACTTGCTCCCTCTGAGACACTAGGTAGAATCCTTCCTTGTCTCTTCTAACTTCTGGTGGTAACTGTCAATCCTTGGCATTCATTCCTTGACTTGTAGCTGCATCATTCCATTCTCTGTGTATGTCATCAAATGGCCTTCTCTTTGTGTGTCTTCGTTTTATCTCTTCTCTTCTTACAAAGACGGCAGTTAAACTGGATTAAGGTGCACCTTAATGACCTCATCTTAATTTGATTAAATCTGCACAGACCCCATTTCCACATTAGGTCACATTCACAGGTACTAGAGATTAGGGCTTTGATATATGTTTTTTCAGGGGATATAGTTCAACCCATAACACTGTAGGAAAGCATATATATGATCTGTTTAGGAGAAAATATCTTGCCTCTAGAGATTAGTTCTTTCAGCTTTGAATCGGATTTTGTGGTTAAAGTTGTACATCCATTGTGACATTTTCCTTATCTTCCCATTAGTAGCGCTGTCATTATCTTTGTTCAGGTGTTGTATTTAGAAAATAAAATAAACTAAAGCTACCGTCTTCTTGTGAATCTTAGACTGAAAATAACTTATGAAAGTATATAGGGATTCATTTTTATTCTTCCAGTTTAGAGAAGTGTTTTCTAGCATTATTGAGTACTATAAATACTTGATAACTCTATTTAAAGATGCTGATAGTTTAAATTTTTCCTTAGTCTTATAAACTGAAATCTATTTAAATAATTTTTGATAAAATACTAAAATTAATGTTTAATTCTCTTCAGGAAATAGCACACTCTCAGGTAAAACAGGAGGCTGTATTGCTTCATGAAAAACTTTATGAGTTGGAGTCCCACAGAGATCAACTGATTGCAGAAGACAAAAGCATGGGATCTCCAATGGAAGAGAGAGAGAGATTACTTAAGCAGGTAGGAAAAATAGACGAAGGTATTTTAATGTCAGGATTTGGTAAATGTATCAGTTTGTTTTATTTAAGGTATATGAATCGAACAGAAAGCCAGTAAGCTATTGTCTTAAAAAATAATGAAAAATGAGCTCCACCTAAATTAGTATGAACTGCTCGACCAGGGAAATCTAAGTAAAAGTCATTTCTCACATAAACTGTCTTTAGACTTGAATCCTAAATTTATATGGTCTTCATGCATATTTTGGCCATTTTTTTCATGTTTTGGATCCTTATAGGGAAAACTTGAAACTCTTCTTATTGGTCAGTAAATAATTAGGTAATCTTATTGAAGATCTGTTCATTCCATTATTTGTTTTGAGCCTTGTGTTTAGAAAATGAAGTGCCCTAAGGCTGATGACTTTGTGTGGCTATTTCTGTCAGTGCTTCCATAAAGTGAATGGAATTAAAATGTCCTGTGAAATCACAATATGTCACCAAGTTGTGTCACATGTATTTAGTAACTTTCTTACTACTCCAAGGCTGGCTTTAACTTAGCCTATTGTTTATCCTGAGACACCCTAAATGCAGGATTCTTAGAAGCCTACCTATTTGGGAACAGCTTCAGTCAGGAAACTACAAATAGAATTCCTTTGTGGTATTAGATTTAATCATGGGCATACAAGAACGTAAGAGATCAACTCAGGAGCTATTTAAGTATTAGAATCATTTTAGAAAGGTATTAAAATCTGGAATCTCTGAAGTTCCTTGGAAAGAGATATTGAAGGCAGGGGAAGAGACAGCAATCCTGGCATAGGATTGACAGATAAAATACAGAATGACTGATTACATTTGAATTTCAGATAAGCAGTGAATAACCTTTTAGAATAAATATGTATGTAAGGATGATAATAAGTATATTCCAAATATTGCATGGTATATACCTACCCCAAAAGTAATTCATTATTTTTCTGAAAATCAAATGTAACAGGGATTGCTAAATCTGGCAACCCTATTTTGTGTGTGGGTTGGTGGTGGGTAGCAGGGGTGGGGAGACAGGCTCAGAAATCCTAGATATACTGATCTAGGCCTAAACATGTGTTAACCTCATGGTGCCATGAAGATAGGTATGGATAAATCATTCAATACTCTTCCTTTGAAGAAGAAAGAAAAATCTGTGACTAGTTCCCTCAGATGTTTCTTTTAACTTCAATGTTTGAATTTTAAGAAATAAGTGTAAAGAAAGAAAATAGTTTTGACATTTTAGTACAACATACCTTAGAGGAAGATAGCTTACCAATGAGAGATTCTTTAAATACTATTTTCTTTTTATGCCTTTATAGGTTAAAGAAGATAATCAGGAAATAGCCAGCATGGAGCGACAGTAAGTATATTTACACTAGGACATTTTACATTCATTTCCCTTCTTTTAAATTACATTCAAAATATATAAGAAATGCTTATTATTACAGCCATTTTTTCCTATGGTTCACATTGGCAGTATTGATGCAGCTTTCAGTTTTATTTACAGCTTTAACTAATTCTTTGAATGTTAAGAGCCATTATATAGTATAATTGCTTTTTAAAAACAGCTTTATTATAATACATAACATACAATTCATATATTTAAAGGTTTCAATTCAGAGGTTTTTAATATATACACAGAGTTGTGCAACCACCACCTCAATCAATTTTAGAACAGTTCAGTCACTCCAATAAGAACCCATATCTCTTAACCATCACCCCTCTCATCTCTCATTCCCAGCCGGAGGTGGTGGTAACCACTCTACTTTATGTATTTTATGTCTCTATAGATTGGCCTATTCTGGGCTGGCTTGCTTGCTTGCTTGCTTGCTTGCTTGCTTTCTTTCTTTCTTTATCTATCTTTCTTCTTTTTTTAGTATATATATTTTTTATTGAAGTATAGTCAGTCCACAATGTTGTGTAAATTTTTTTTCTTTTGTGAATATTTCATATAAGTGAAAGCATACAATATGTGGTCATATGAGGCTGGATTCTTTCACTTAGCATAATGTTTTCAAGGTTCATCTATTTGTAGCATTTATCAGTAGTTCATTTCTTTTTATTGCCAATTAATATCCCATCATGTAGATATACCATATTATCCATTCATTAATTGATGGACATTTGGATTGTTTTCATTATGGTTGTGATGGATCATGCTGGTATGAACATTTGTGTGCAGATTTTTGTGTGGGCATATATTTTCACTTAGGTATTTATCTACAAGTGGAATTGCTGGTTTATATAATAACCCTATATTTAACTGTTTGAGGAAATGCCAGACTATTTTCCAAAGCAGCTGCATCATTTTGCATTTTCACCAGCAGTATATAAGTCTTCCAGTTTCTCCATGTCCTCATCAATACTTATTACCTGTTGTTTCTGATTAAGCCATCATAGTGGGTGTGAAGTGGTATCTCATTATTGTCTTCATTTGCATTTCCCTGATGACTAATGAATGATGTTGAACCTCTTTTCCTGTGCTTATTGGTCATATGTATACATTCTTTGGGAAAATGTCTGGTTACATTCTTTGCCCATTTTTAAATTGGATTATTTATTGTTTTATTACTGAATTATAAGAGTTCTATGTATATTCAGAATACAAGTCTCTTCTCAGATAAATGATTTGTAAAATTTTTCTTCCATTCTGTGGATTGTCTTTTCACTTTCTTTTTGGTGTTCTTTGAAGCACGAAAGTTTTAAATTTTGATGATGTCTAGTTTATTTTTTCTTTTGTTGCTTGTACTTTTGATGTCATATCTAAGAAACTAATGCCTAATTCAAGGTCATGAAGATTTATGCTTACTTTTTGTTATTTAAGTGTTTTATAGTTTAATTCTTATGCTTAGAGCTATGATCCATTTTTTAACTTTTGTATATGGTATGAGGTAGGAGTCCAGTTTTATTCTTTTGCTTGTGCATGTCCAGTTGTCTCAGCACCATTTGTTGAAATATTCTTTCAACAAATACTCTTTCAACAAATATTTTTAATATTCTTTCTCTGTTTAATTGTTTTGATACCTTTGTCAAAAATCAATTGTATATAAATACAGGGTCTTATTTCTAGACTCACAGTTCTATTCCATTACTATATATATATATATCTGTCCTCATTCCAGCACCATACTGATTTCTATGGCTTTATAGTCAGTACAACTGCTTTTGTTAAATTTTTAACCCACATGATCTGTTAATGGTAAATTTTTCTCTTATTTTCTAAGACTAATTTACCAACTTAGTTCAATTTGTATAAACCTACAAAAATAAGATTGCTAAAGATTTTTTACTTTCTTAATATCACAAGCCAAGCTCAAAATAAGGCTGGGGAGGGGTCTACTTTTGAAATCAAAATAAACTTATACTCAAAATATGAATCATGAGAAAAATTTAGAAAAGATTTTTCTCTCAAGTTTATGCTGTTGTCCCCAGAATAAGATATATCGTTTCTTGATATTGTTTATGCAGATTAGGAAAGATTTAAGATTTCCTCACATCATCATTAAATGTTTTTACTGAACATCTAAATTATCTGTCATAAATTAATTTAATAATATTTCAACAGGTTAACAGATATAAAAGAAAAAATAAATCAATTTAATGAAGAAATTAGACAACTTGACATGGATTTAGAAGAACACCAAGGTAATTATTTTGATATTTTTATAATGTATAGTAACAGATAATAGTAGCATTTATTTGGTATACCTCAAGGGCTGTTTACCTCTTTGTGATATCACTAAGTCTTTGTGATATCACTAGGTTTAACTACTAAAATACTAAACTGCTATAATACTAAACATTAGAATTAATATTGAGTTATTTAAGCCAACTAGAAACTTGATATAACTTAAAATGGATATATAATGAATTTATTTCATTTTACAAAGAAAACTTTCTTTAATGAAGTAAAATATTTTAAAGTTGCTCACATATTTCTAAATTATGCTTCAAAATGGTCAACTATGAACTGGGGTAACTGATAGAGTTGCAGGGGAGTGAGGAGCAAGTCACAAATATCACAAACAATGCAGAAAGAATTTATTCCTAGAGAGTCCAATGATGAAGTGGCAAATACTGATTGTTCTGATTCTCTCTCAGCTTTCCCTAGCAGTGGGATCTGAAGAGCCCAGGCAGGGATCAGAGCATTTGGGGAAGCCTCGGGGTACAAACGAGTGGAAATGCTGTAGTGGGGATTTGGGAGCTATAGTGTGTGTGTGGTTGGGGGAATAGTTTGGGCATTACAGTTTCCTAACTGTTTTCTCTCTAATAGGGGAGAGAAAGGTAGGTTCCTATGGTACTTTAATCACATATTAACTGCAGACCAGTTAATATGCTCCTGGATTATCAAGAGTTGAGTTAAGTATGATATTGTCAATATATAACTATTATGGCTAAAGAAACATTCATAGCAGGGAAAAGGGGTGTTCTTTTCCTAAACTAATTTTTTACTTCAATTTTAATGCAGTGTATTAGTTTTATTTGTACTTTATCTTCATTTATGAATAATAGCATTAGCTACTATTAATTGATTACTTATCTGGACTAGGCACTTTGTGATCTTTGCAGGAACCCTTTGAAGCCTGTAACCTCATTTTTACTTGTTGAAGCTCAGAGAAGTTACTCAAATTCCCACAGTAAGGGGTAAAGTCTAGATATAAACCAAGTTGTCTTTGACCCCAAAGTCTTAGTTCTATTGCACAAGCCTAATCTTGGCTTTCTTATAGAAAATGCTGCATTTGTGAAATAAAAATATTCTTGTGAAATGCTTACAGTTTTATTTACATGTGGCTTTATGTAAATAAGACATCTAAAGGTAGACAAACTTTCAGTCCCAGTTATTATCTGGGCTTTTGTTTTCTCATCTTCAAAATGAATAAAATGGTTCTACCTCACTAAGATTTATGAATATTAAATGGTATACATGGCAAGGTAGATTCACAATAAATTGCTAAGACTATGTTCATGTTATTTTCTTTATTAAATTATTTTATTATTTTAGTTTATGTAGATCTGTATTATAGATTTTCTTTATTAATAAGTTATTCTGATACATCTGATAATGTTCTTGATTTCAGATGCTTTATGGATACATTCTAAATAATCTCCTTCTAAACTTAAATTTCTAGCAAGATTATATTTATTTTTTCAGTAAAATAACTCATTTTGGGGTAACAGTTTCTTACTTTATTATTAATTACTAATTTTAAGAAAATAGAATGCTTTGAATTGTGGCTTCCATTTTCCTTTCTGTTTTGTAACATTCTTTGTCCTGTTTTGATTAATATAGAAAGAGACAATCGGTAATGTAGTACTTTAATAGTAGCAAAAGTGTTTATATATGTACATATAAAATATATGTGATATATGAATGTTATGTATTTATATATTCATATATATATATCAGTGTGTTAATTTTTTGTTCTTCTGCTACACTGTGATCATCCTGGATTATTGGTTCAACAGCATAGGGGGTTTGTTAGAAGGTTACTTGTTAGAAGGTTACTTGTTAGTTCAGGACCTCATTATTTCTTGCCTGAACTATTGCAGTAGCCTCCTAACTGGTCTCCTCACCTCCAGTCTTGCTCCCTCTCAGATTCAGCCACCACAGTGTTGTCAGAGTAACTTGTGTGGAATGTGATCTTGTGTCATTCTCCTACTTAATAGTGCTTTCCCATGATCTGCAAGATAAAGTTCAAGAATCTTTGTATGGCATTATAGTCCCTCCATAATCTGTGTTTCATAAGCCTCCTCTGCTCCCCTCATCATCTCTATTCTTACATTAATACTTGTGATACCTCACTCCTCACCCCTTACATCAATCTGTTTCATGCACAGTTCTTTGCTCCTATTAGTTGTTCCCTTATATTGAATGTTCTTTTCCCTGTTATTTACCTTACTAACTTCTCATCTTCTAAAATCTAGCTCAGGTGTCCTTTCATATCCAACATAATAACCCTGACTTCCCTCCCTGACCTATTTATGGGCTGGGCTAAGTGAGTGATCCCATCTGTTATCAGAACATACTGCATAACTGTATCACTGCATTGGCCACATTATGCTACCACTGTCTACTTAGATATTTGTCTTTCCCTTAGAGTATATATCCCCAAGGACTAGGACTGTGTCTTACTCACTTTGGTAACCTCTGTCATCAACACGGGTTCCTGGGAAAATAAACATTCAACAAATGTTTGAGAAATGAACTAAATAGTCAGATTCGTAGAATGAACTAAAAGTGGGAGTTAAACTCTAGTCACTTCTTTGGGCCCTCTAGTTCTTAGATTATACAAATGCACTCCTATCCAGAGAGAGCTTAATTGGTTAGCAACAGTTTTATTACTTTCTTGGGGATTCCTACCTTAGATTTATGATTTTCAATAAAGAGGTAGATTCTTGTCTGTATCTGCATTCTCAGCTATCCCTTGACTCAAAATTGTGGATAATCTGCTCCTTAAGATGTGGAGAATAATCAAGTTACTTTGACTTCCTGGTCCATACTCTGCCCCCAGCTTTATTCCCTCTGGCCTGTTTTATTAATTTCTTCCATTTATGGCACCTGTGTATAATCCAGTTAGGCTACCTTTTGCTTTGTAGGGGTTCTAGTTAAGATAGCATATAAACCATAAAAGATGTTTGTACATGTCTGTCTTTGTTAGTACTTGTTCCAACCTTGCAATTTAAATAAACTTTTTAGAAATTTGCACAATTCATTTTAAATTTAAAGATGTCCTTAGATAATGGTTTAGGTAAAGTTATGTTTTCTGCTAGGTATTAATGGTGGCCCTGTAACCCAACAAGTTCCTCAAGTGCATCATATTTATGCATTTTTTAAGTCCTTAAAGTTATAATTTGCTAAAAGTTACATTGTCTCAAAGTTAACTAAATAAAATCAGCTAACAGTTATTTGACTGTTCTGCAAAAATCTTTATTATTCCCAGATGCTGAGTTATCAGTTTCTTTGCCAATCTGGGTAAAGCAGAAAAAATCCTCATAATACACTTAGACTTTTGACCAATTCTAGATAGGCAGCTTTGCTCTCAAATCTTTATTTAGCCTTTGTAAATAATTGTCTAAAATAATCTCATAAAAGAAAATTTTCATTCTAATAAGATACTACTTTTTTTAAACTGCTGGGGGAATTAATTCTGTTATGTTAAGTATTTGCTAAATTTCACACATATGGTGTTTTTGCTTTATTTATTTATCAGATAATTTTGTTATATGGGTTCTAAAAATATTTAGGTTTAAGTATGTGTACTGTCCTATATATTAGCAGAGAAGGAATTGTTATTATTTTTACTAACTTGACGCAATGAGAAATATTTCTGTTGAAAGTTGATGTATGGTTAGAATTTGGCTACAAACTCTATCATTATTAAAGCAGAGCATTGTTGGCAAATGCCGTGCTACTTTTCAGAAAAGCCTTATTTCCCCTGAAATTCGTCCTTATTTCTCCTTTCTTAGCTGGAGTGCCAACCATTAAATATCTACTTAATTGTTCCTTTTTAACATGCTCTTTTGGAATGAGAAAGAGAAAGTCATGGAAAAAGCGTTGTTGCTCTGGGTAAAGAAGGCAACAAAACATAGATAATAGTAGCCTATATTCTCACTCAATATAGGATATCATTTTTAATAAAGATCCTTTTACTTCAAGATTACCTCTAACGTATAGCTGAGTAATTGGTTTTTGAAAAAATAATTGTTGACTAAGAAAATATTTATTCTAACCACAAATTAATACTTGAGGGTTTGTATGTTTCACATTGAAATTCCCTCAAAATAATGTTTCTTGGTTCACTTAAGTCAAAACAGGCTCCTACGTTACTCTTCACTGTCTTACATGAAATTCTGAAAAGACAGTGTTACTATTTTAAGACATGACAAAACCTTTCATGGTGTAGGAACACAAAATTAGTAATCTATGCAGAATTCCTGAGGTTTTTGAAATTGGGTTAATTCTTAACTTTACCGATTATGGCTTAGGTTTAGGCTTTCTGAAGTCTGCTAAATTAGTTATCACTTGTCCGTCTGCTTCCAGCTTCCAAAATTTTATAACTATTGTTTTCTCTCCTATTTTCCTCATTTCTGGGAGTTTGACCTTTAAAAATTCTTTTTACTATAATTTTAGTGAAGTTTCAGGTTGGGGGCGGTTCGAATTAGATATACATGTTTAACCTGCTATCTTTATCAAAAAACTACCAGGTATAGACTTACCTACCCAGAATTTCTAAAGAGTTTTAATCACCTTGAATATACTTCATTTTATGGGTTTGTTGGGGGTAAGTCTGTGTGTGTGTGCGTGCATGCACGCGTGTTGCCTCAAGTGACCATTTTCGTATGTTTTCATTAACTGCAATTAGCCTCAGCATCTAGGACGTTACACCTTTTTGCTTTTTAAAAATTTTCCTTACACTAGTTAAAGTTATTTTGAAGACTCCAATTAATTTATTGTTAAAAATTGTGTACTTTTTGTAGATAAATCCGGTATGTACTTAATGTGAAAAATTCAAGCGATACAAAAATATATGGAGTAAAAACTCATCTCCTTTCTCCTCACACTTATCCCATTCTTCAGAGATTATCATTGTTTACAGTTTGGTATTTATAGCCTTTTAGACTTTTTTCTATAACAGCTTATATAT